TGCTCTGCCCGCAGGCGGCAGGGCGCCCTGCGCCGCGGCGACTGGTACAAGACGAAGGAGATCCTGCTCAAGGGAGTGGACTGGATCCTCGGCGAGATCAAGGCGTCGGGGCTGCGAGGCCGTGGTGGCGCCGGTTTCCCCACTGGCCTCAAGTGGAGCTTCATGAACAAACCCCCAGATGGCAGGTGAGACCAGTACCGGCACCAGCACCAGCGTGTCCCGAGACAGGCCCTGACGCTGTCCACCTTCCCCCAGACCCAAATACTTGGTGGTGAACGCGGATGAGGGGGAACCGGGGACCTGTAAGGACCGGGAGATCATGCGCCACGACCCCCACAAGCTGGTGGAGGGCTGCCTGGTGGCGGGACGTGCCATGGGCGCTCGCGCCGCCTACATCTACATCCGCGGCGAGTTCTACAACGAAGCCTCCAACCTGCAGGTGAGTGGCAGGGAAGAGGCAGGTGGGTTTTGGGGGGGGACGACACACTCCCGCTTTGGGGAGCCCCCCAACCCACTCACCCCCTCCCTGCCACAGGTAGCCATCCGGGAAGCCTATGAAGCCGGGCTACTGGGCAAGGACGCCTGCGGCTCGGGCTACGCCTTCGACGTCTTCGTGGTGAGGGGCGCCGGAGCCTACATCTGTGGGGAGGAGACGGCGCTGATCGAGTCCATTGAGGGCAAGCAGGGCAAGCCGCGCCTGAAGCCCCCCTTTCCCGCTGACGTGGGTACGTCTCCAGCTCTCCCCACTTTGCAACCGGCTCACACAGCTCTTGGCAGCACGAGCCCTAATTTCTACTCAAGAGCAGGACAAAATGGTGGCGACAGGACCAAACCAGTCATCCTCGTGCCACCGTCCTGCTGCAGAGTGTAGCTGGTGAGAGCTCCTGCTTCTTCCAGGTGTCTTCGGCTGCCCCACCACGGTGGCCAACGTGGAGACGGTGGCAGTGGCCCCCACCATCTGCCGCCGAGGCGGCGCCTGGTTCGCTGGCTTCGGGCGGGAACGCAACTCGGGGACGAAACTCTTCAACATCTCGGGTCACGTCAACAACCCCTGCACCGTGGAGGAGGAAATGTCGGTGCCACTGAAGGAGCTCATCGAGAAGCACGCCGGTAAGCGCTGCGGGATGTCCTATCGCGCTGCGCT